GAGCAAAGCAGCGCGCGGCCCAAGCAGCACACGCCCAGCCACCTTGAAGCGACCTGTAGGCAGCGCACGTCCAATCTGCCCTGATGTAGTCACAACTTTGTTGCGCACGCGTGTGCGCCCGCACCGCTTTCGTGTGGGCGGGCTGCCCTACCAGCAGACGGTGTTTCAGCTTGCTGTGTTTGTTCAGCCTCGCGCACATGGGGCCGTGTTCCCACGTGTGCTGGCTCACGAGATTTTCCGCGTGACTGACTGGCGCAAATGATTTGGACTCTTGCAGGCTGCGTGCCTAGCACTGCCTTGCCAAGCAAACACCCCTTTGTTTTTCCCGCGGCAAGGCAAGCATAGAGCAGCAGCTACATCACGTTGCTTGACAAGGGTCCTTCGGGGCGAGTTCCCTGCACTCTTGCGCTACTTGCGTTTCTGTCCAGCCACCGCAAACATGGAGCAGCAGCTTAGGCACCTTGCTTGATCAAGTTCGGGCAATATTCAGTCGCGCCAGAGATTCGGCCGCTGTTGTTGATGCTGTTGCCTGACCGGAGTCTTGCTATTGGGCCTGGGTGGCTGAACTTGCACTGCATAAGCTTTGCAGTCCAACCCAAGCCGCTGGCATATCCACCTCACCCAGCCTAGGCCTTAGACGCCCAGCAGATGGCGCAGCAAAACGTGAAGAAGGCTCTCTACGGTGTCAGATTTGTATGCTGTTCGACCTTGCTGACTTCCAGCGCAGCTTATCCCAAGATTCAAGCTCCAGACCTTTCTGTGGGTTCCTTTCTCTCCAAGTAATCACCCACTCGTTTGTCTTGTAAGCTGAGGCACAAGTCCGGGCAAAAATTGAGCGCAGTGGTGAAGTTCCCGGTCAGGGGGGGGGTCAAACTGACCAAATCAGTGGGTGTTGCCGAGGACGCGCTCAGTAGCACACAGCAACACTGAGAAGCTGTCAGTAGCACTCAATAGCACTCAGTAGCGCTCAGTAGCAGGCTTGACACGCTGAGCCTGAAAATCTCAGTAAGGTCCTTGCTGAGCACACTCCTGGTGTCAAGCAGCAATTTTGCTCAAACGCACTCAATAACTAAGGCTTGCTAAGGCTTGCTAAGGCTTACTAAGTCTCACTAGCCCTTCCAAAGTGTTCCAAAGCATTGAGCAACAGTGGTTGATGCTTTCCCCTTGCACCCTATCCAAGAAGGCCAACCCCCTTCGCAGAAGCTCGCCCCCAGATAGCCTCAGAAGCCCCCGGGCTCTTAACCCAAGAGCTTCGGCGGAGTTTGACCAAACGCCTCTGAGAAGGCGGCCGAAGGCCTCGCAGTGACGGCAGATGCCACGCTGTAGCATGCTGTAGCACCGGCAAACGGATTTTGCGGAAGCTTTGTCTTGCACCAAACTGATCGCAGGAGGGGCCGTTTGGCGCTGGCGAAAAGTGTGCTCTCTCAAGTATGTGGCCGCAAAAGTTTGGCTTTTCGTTGCTGCTCAACGGCGACGCCATCCCTTTGCCGCTTTCCTTGGTGGCCACACTGGAGGCGGCGTTGCTGCAGCAGAAGATTCCTGGCTTCTGGGCTGTTTGTTGCTTATGGTTTGGGGCGGCCGGTCCCACATCGACAACATCAAGCTGTTCGGCCTGAGCTGTGAACAACCTCCAGCTTTGCGGCCCGGTCGGGGTCCTGGGCAAAGACGGACTGTGAAATCTCCCGCCCTTTTGCTAATGCACCGGCCAAGACACAGTGCCCGGGCAGGGTATCATTTCTTGGTTGCTTACTTCACCTTTGTGTATCTCTTGGCAACACGTGGAACCCTTCAAAATGCTTAGATCTGCATTACCTAGCCAAGTAACCACTGGCTACTGTTCTTGAGGGAGTCAGCTGCTTCGGCAACTGAACAATCGGTGCGTACGATTTGCTGCCAATCCTAAGCACTCAGCATTGTCCCAGACGTGTTGAAGCCACGCTGCACAGGCAACGCACGTCCAGTTGGCCCTGATTGAGTTGCTTGCCCTCTTCCGGCCTTCGTAGCTGTCACTCATTGCTCCTGTCCTGCCACGGCCAACATTGAGCAGCTTGATAACTTTGCCTGACCAGGCTTGCAGCGTATTCCGTCTTTCAAGAGATCCGACCACTGTTGTCGAAGCTGTTGCCTGAGCCACGCGGGCAGAAGTTCTGCAAGGTTTTGAAGGAGCCAGTTGCTACATCCAATCCACGTAGCAAGCGCCTCATGCCCAGTTTGTGTGACCGGGCTTGAAAGCCAATTGACTGTGCAGCCGAGCTCTCTTGTAGATGGCGCACCTAGCACGAAGAAGGCACTTTGTACTATTTGTTTATCCACACCCACAAGTGACGGTCGGGTTTTTTCAGGCCAACGAGGTGTATCGCACGCACTGAAGTAAGCAAGTCCTGCTAAGTGCAGAGCTGCGTGCGAAATTGCCGCGTTCATTTTTGATCAAGGAGCTACACCCGATGTCTTTCTAAAACTGTCCCGGAGCCAACATGCGGAAGTTCCGCGGAAGCTGCGC